GAAAATATGCACGGGCCGATAACCGTGCTTCCTATACTTTCAAAGTTACTCGAGAAGCACATTTGTGATCACCTTTGCGACTTCCCTGAGGAAAACGCTCTACTACACAGGTTTCAGTCCGGTGTCCGCAAATTTCACTCCACTGGGACCGCCCTTATCCGCCTAGTCGATCAGTTGCTCTTTGACTTGGACAAGAGCAAAGTATCGGGGCTTGTGTTTATTGACTATAAAAAGGCTTTTGACCTCATACACCACGGTCTACTCTTAGAGAAATTGAAAGCCTATGGGGTATGCGATAGCGAGCTGGAACTACTATGCAGTTATCTAAGTGGACGCACATAGTATGTACACATCAATGGCTGTCATTCCTCCCCAAGAGCTATGTCGGCTGGAGTACCGCAAGGGAGTATTTTGGGCCACATTTTGTTCCTGTTATTCATTATCGATCTGCCATCGGCGGCACAGCATTCTACTGTTGACATCTACGCGGATGACACTACTCTCAGTTTATCATCAGACATGACTAATGGACTTACTGTCATGTCATCAGCCCTCCAACAGGACTTAGATGACGTCTCGCGGTGGTCGGCTGCAAACAAAATGGTTACAAACGCTGTTAAGACGAAATGTCTCCTTGTTACCGGGAAACGCATATCATTCAAGCTTGACAATTGTTCACTGGAGCTCAAACTTGCTAACTCTGACAAAGAACAGGTTGATAGTCAGAAACTCTTGGGGGTTACTATTGACAAACACTTAAGTTTTGATGTACGCGTTGAGGAACTATGCAAGAAGTTGTCCCAGAGAATAGCGGTTCTTAGAAAGATAAGGAGATTCATCCCTATTGAACAGCGCACACTTTACTGCAATGCTATGATCAAACAAGTAATGTTGTATGGGTCAACTATCTGGTCAAACTGCTCAGCAGATTACTAAACGAGAATCCTCAAGCTACAAAAACGTGCTGCCCGAGTACTTTTGGGAGCTGACACAAGTTCAAATAGCGTAAATCTTTTTAATCAATTAGGGTGGCTCCCATTTTATGATGAAGCTAAAATCAATAGGTGCTCACTAGTCTTTAAGCGCCTTCAAGGAAACTGCCCCGGCTACATGTATGACCTTCTTAAATGCAATGCAGATTTACACTCACGCAGTGGGCGGTACAGTACCTTAAACCTCGTCTGCCCCAGATATAATCGTGTATCTGAGGGAGGGAGAACTTTTAGCGTGTCCGCAACCAGGTTCTGGAACTCTCTGCCTATTAACCTTAAGAAAGAAGCATGTGTAACCTCATCTGGAAAGGCTATTTATAGACCTTTTTTAACCAGATACAATAACGTTAATCATTTTAGCCTAACTGAAACTTAATTTTATTCAACGTTTTACGCTAATCCAACATTTCATAACCTTCTTCTCCCTCGACCTATCCCAGCTTTATTCTTATTGTAATTATAGTTTGTAGATATTCATTGTAAGAATATTTTTATAAGTGTAATATAGTTTTTACTATAGTCAGTCCTATTCATACATACACTTATACTTCCTTTCTTTACGACATCTATTTTGATACTTAACTTTGTTTTACAAATTTAGTTTGAGCGTCACTAGTTACTCAGTCGAAGCACTGTCCGTGTTACCCTCGTTAAATAAAGTTGATTGATTGATTGATTGACGGGCACATGGCTCGAAACGTGGTGAGAATGCCCAAGCTCGTGATCACAAAATTTGACGGGATGCCGCAAGATTGGCTGTGTTTTGGGGGACAGTTCCAAAGTCAAATTGATGATTCCAGTGCCCCTGAAGTCACAAAGTTCTCTTATTTGAAAGAATTAGTGAATATGAAGGTGCGAAATCTCATCGACGGTCTTCCGTTTACGCCTGAAGGTTACCAAAAAGCTAAAGATCTACTCACAAGAAGATATAGGAAAGCGAGTGAAGTCGTGGGAACTTACGTTAGGAATATTTTGGAACTACCCACCATGCGCGAGAGAAACGTAAAGAAGATACATGAATTTTACGAAGTACTACTGTTCAATGTAGAGTCATTGCGAACATTGAAGAGCTTATCCAAATTGGACGCCGCGGTTCGATTTACATTCGACAAACTTGAGGTTTATTNTTGCGCTAGAAAGCTTCAATATGAAGGAGGATATACAGTGCTGGCTCGACAGCACTGTAGCCCTACACTGGCTGAACGATGACGGGGAGTACCGCCAATTCGTGGCTAATCGGGTTAAAAAGATTCAGAGCCACCCGAACACGCAGTGGAGACATGTACCGACATCCGAAAACCCTGCTGACCTGGAGAGCAGAGCTGGCAGTGTGAATGAAGTGGAGCTATGGTGGAACGGTCCATCGTGGTTATCCGACCGATGTCAGTGGCCTGTTAATATTGTGACAACGGATGACAGCAATGCAGAAAAGAAGGTTCCACGAGAACTTTTCGCGCTCGGTGTCGAAGCAAACGCTGACTTTGACAATGTTCTGGAGAAGTTCGGCTTGCGTAAAGCCATGAGAATTTGTGCATGGATCTTGCGGTTTAATCACAATTCTCGTCACCCTTCCAAGAGGATGATTGGACCTCTTACGACCGAAGAAATTCAGCAACAAGAAATGTCCTGGATCAAGCATGCGCAGAGCCAAGGGGCAAAGACGGTCAAGTTTTCCTGTGACCAGGAACAACTGAATCTGCAACTAAACACCGATGGTGTATTGGAATGCCGACGACACATTCAGGGTGAGTACGTATCCGATTTACTTAACAGTTTCTAATTCTTTCACAGTGGAAATAGTGCAGCAAGCGCACGTGATAACTCTCCATGGGGGAGACAGCATGACTATGGCTAAAGTACGAGAAAGATTCTGGGTGCCAAGGCTTCGACGGCTTGCTAAGAGAGCAGTGAAGTACTGCTTTGGCTGCAAGAGGTTCCAGGCTCAGCCCCTTCATGACCCACCACCAGGTGATCTACCGAAGTCACGTACAGAAGAGAGTACACCTTTTGATGTCATCGGGGTGGACTTCGCAGGACCAATCAAGTATAGTGGCAAGTGCAAGCCAGAGAAGAAAGCCTACGTCGTACTCTACTCCTGTTGTCTTACCCGCGGAATCTTCCTGGAAGTGCTTCCCAGCCTAGAAACAAGCGAATTTATCAAGAGCTTTAAACGTCTGATGCGCTCCTCTCCAGCACCAANTTGAGTGACCAATCCATTACTTGGCGCTTTAACGTGAGTAGAGCGCCATGGTGGGGAGGACACTTCGAAAGACTCATTGGCTTATTCAAGTCTTCATTCTACAAGTCTGTGGGTCAGGGTCTGCTAAGCTGGGACGAGCTCTGCGAGGTAGTCCTTGACATCGAAGTGTCGCTTAACCATCGACCTCTTAGTTACGTGGAGGATGACCCGCAGTTCCCTACACTAACACCCAACTCCTTCCTGTTTCTGAATGCTAACATTTTACCTGAGTTCGAGCCACATCAGCTCGAAGACCGCGACTTGAGGAAACGTGCGAAATTCTTGAAAGCTACCAAAGATACAATGTGGCGTCGCTGGACCACAGAATACCTTAAAGCTTTGAGAGAGAGGCATCAACTTAACTGACAACACCAAACCTAACAGCTTGTCCGTGGGAGATGTTGTTATCATTAAGTCTGAAGAGTAAAACCGAAATAAGTGGCCCATGGGGATAGTAGAAGAATTATTCACTGGACGTGATGGTGTTGTTTGGGCAGCGAAATTAAGAGCAGACAGAGGATTCATGAAACGCCTAATCCAACATCTCTATCCATTGGAGTTGTCGTGCGACCGAAACCCTACGCCTTGTAATGACACACCTTTGAACCCAACTGCATTGGAGTTCCGGCCGCGACGAGATGCAGCTGCGGCAGCACGTCAGCGAATACAGGACATTGCAGAGCAAGACACTTTAATGTGTTTACTAAAGAAACATTATTTTTATACTTATTTCTTGTTGTGTTATGGAGTCAGTTCCACTTGCATATGCCTTGTTCCCAAGTCATATGGGGAAGAGTGTTGGAAACTGTACGTTACATTTATTAGTCTTAAAATTGTTGACATCATAAGTGATTTCGTTTGTCTATTACGTAACCAAACAGCATCTATGCAGCACGTGTTTTATCGCCCCATATATGGCGCTGTTCCACGTGCTTACAATGAGACGTGGAGTGTGTTTTCGTGAGAGTTGTGAGTGGGAGTTAACTGAAGTGTAATAGCAAAATTGAATTAAGGGAATAAATCGTGAGTGCTGCTTTTGCACGTTTAAGACACTCGATACAGTAAGCTATCTGTGCGTGAAAATTGAACCATTGTCTTCATAAACTTTTTATTTTCGCGCAGGTGTCATTTGCGTGATCGAAAACAAAAATAGTCACTGATGTAATAAATAAGAAAAACGGACGGAGTGGATCGGTAATTTTTTCTAAAATAGCCACATCACTGGTCCCACCTTTGAAAGCGTTAATCTAGAGACTGAAATAGGACATCAGCGAGAGGAACTAGCTTGATCCTCAGTAATAATCAACGGTTGATACTTCTTTTTCGGGAGGGGAGGGAGGTAGGGGAAATGGACCTGGACCGCGTTTATGTTGTAGGATCCGTGTACCTGGAAGACACCCTCCTCTTTTCAGGAGGCAGCGTGGCCGAGTGGTCAGCGTGTCGGACTCGCAATCCGTCGCTCCTGGGTTCGAGTCCCGCCCTGACCACTACCTGAATTTGTTTCACGGTGACTCCGAGTTCAAATCCTCGGCCATGCTTGTAAATAGCCAACTGGCTTGTCTCCGGCCAGTTGAGATTCTTAACAATGTTATGTTCAATTTGAATTATTTGTTTATAGCCCACAATGTAAACTATTGTGTTACCAGTAATTCTGTTAGCTATTAAAGTTAATTTTTTTTTTCCTTTGGCAACTGCAAGAAACTTGCACTGATTAGAAAGCACTAACAACGAGTGATCATACGAATGATAGCAATTCTATATGGCGTAGGTTCTTCCTTGTCTTCGAAAAATACTGGCATGCAATTGCAAGCTCGACGAGCTTGCTTCCCGTTTATTTTAAGCCTTTTTGACGGTTGACGGTTAAAGTTTAGGTCATTTGACAGTTGACGGTTAATTTTTTGGAATGTCGTTTATAAAACAAACTTAACGCTCGAATCTGGCTGTAGTTTTTCACAACGACGCGTTTGTAAAGAACCGTTAAGTTAAAACACCTTTTTTTTTAAATAAACGACTAACATTTTTCGACACTGGAAGTGTTTCCACACCAGAAGTCAGTTCTGTCGCTAACCAGTTTTCCTCGCGACTAGAAGTTAAAGGACTTACTTACTTAAATGTACTTTTGAATGATTTAACGACAAAATCTTCGATTGAACAATACCTTATGGACATATCAACGCTTGAGATGAAATTTGCCGGTAATAACGGTGGTCCAAATGTCCCAAAGCCTCATAGAGTCAGACAGTTACGTTTTCATTTTCCGGCCGTGGTCCTCGTCGCTTTTGGGAATTGCATTTTTCGTTACTCTAGAGCTAATTTCGTTTCTTTAAAGGCTCAAATTTCTATTAGTCTCAGAGTATGTAGTTTTCATTTGAGCTTCAAAAGGTATACCTTGATCGGGATGGAACCTATCAAGGACTTTTGTAGGCTCGATTTTTGCTGCTCTCTCGAGTCCGGTCTTTTTCGTTCCTCCTCGAGAAGAAGTCTCTTCGGGGAGGAGCGGGGCTCTGGTTCCCGAATAGCGGCTGGTAATCGAACCCACCATTTTGAAAACTTTGTCTGACAAGATAATTTATGCTTCCTTACAAACTCTGCAGACGAACTTCTGATCGGCTATTAGCAACAAAAGAAACCTCACACGTCCACCCGTCTCTTCGGGGAGGAGCGCGGGCTCCGGTTCCCGAACAACGAGACAATCGAGCCCAAGACTTTTGCAAGAACCCACAAACTGGATTTGAAAAGTTTTCGTTAAGATCTTGTACCTGTCGAGATTTCTACGGTCATCATTACATTCCCACACAGATCCAAGATCTCGGCCCATCATGGGAAGAAAAAAGATTATAAACACACAGCTTTAAGAGAATTTGCCAAGCCTTTTTGGCTCTACATTTCAAACAACAACGACAAAGATCGGTGCCGCGATAAACAACATGCACCTTGAGCGACCTGGTACAGGATTGGCCAGTCCCAGCATTTATTTGGACACTGCATTAGCATTAGTCGCGTACTATTCATCAAAGTAGAGGTTAATAAGTCTTTAAAAAAATCATTGATATCTGTCAAAATACCGAAAATGGTCGGAAATGAAACTCTTGAAGCGCGATTTTGTCTGTTCGTCTGCTCAGAGCACTTCTGGATTAGCCAATCAGCGAGCCTCAAAAGCACTTATCTCCTGTGTGATGCTTTCTAAAAGTTGTCATGGGCGAAGTGACAGGAAAATGCCAGGATGGACGGGCATGTAGTTATTTGTAGGGAAGAGGTTATTGATATAAATTTGGAATACAACTTGCTCCGAAGAAAGCAGTAACCAAAATGAATAAAAGCAGTCTCTAAGGGTTGATTTGTTGAAATATGCAATGTATCTACGCTTCTCGTCAGTTTAAAAATGGAGTGGACTCTTGGATTACTTGAAATTGATGACTTGATTCTCCCAAGGCTGCTAAATGTATTAGAATGGTCCAAATAAATATGGAGCTAGTTTTGAACAACAACAATTGTGACTCATCTCTGATAACGATATCCATTTAGACAAGCAATTCCAGCACTATCCTCACACAGATGATCACATTATCGAGGGGACTTATTGCGTGTGAGTGTGAGGGTTGAAGTAATTTTGCGAGACCAAACTTTCTAAGGAACCACACAGAAGAAGTGACAATCGGAAGTAGATTGGAAATAGAAGCAGAAGGGCCAACAGAATCGGTTCCTTTTCTGGGGGATGAAACTATTTCGTTGATGCATCGAGCCGCAGACTCAAGATCAACCAGTGAACGGGGNGGCCAGTTGAGATTCTTAACAATGTTATGTTCAATTTGAATTATTTGTTTATAGCCCACAATGTAAACTACTGTGTTACCAGTAATTCTGTTAGCTATTAAAGTTAATTTTTTTTTTCCTTTGGCAACTGCAAGAAACTTGCACTGATTAGAAAGCACTAACAAACTAACAACGAGTGATCATACGAATGATAGCAATTCTATATGGCGTAGGTTCTTCCTTGTCTTCGAAAATAACTGGCATGCAATTGCAAACTCGACAAGCTTGCTTCCCGTTTATTTTAAGCCTTTTTGACGGTTGACGGTTAAAGTTTAGGTCATTTGACAGTTGACGGTTAATTTTTTGGAATGTCGCTTATAAAACAAACTTAACGCTCGAATCTGGCTGTAGTTTTTCACAATGACGCGTTTGTAAAGAACCGTTAAGTTAAAACACCTTTTTTAAATAAACGACTAACATTTTTCGATACTGGAAGTGTTTCCACACCGGAAGTCAGTTCTGTCGCTAACCAGTTTTCCTCGCGACTAGAAGTTAAAGTACTTACTTAAATGTACTTTTGGGATATATCAAAACTTATATATATGTATATAAACAACAGAACTTGACCCCAATTAAGGCAATCGTTTGGTTCTTAATTACGGATATCTGAGACATTTGACAGCTAACATTGGCTGGCTAATTTGACGGCTGACGGTTAATATTTTGGCCATTTGACGGCTGGCGGTTAACCCCATTCAGACCCTCTTGAAAATGTTGTCTCTTTGAATGTTCGTTCTCCAATAACCCTTTTGGAATCCTTCTCCCCCAAATTCGTGATTATTTAGAGGAAAAATAAAAACTATGATCAAAAGTATTTCACTAAATCATTGAAAATTCTTGCTAGGAACTGATGAAATTTCAAATACATTCGAGGAAAAAAAATCAAAAGTTTATATTTTTTCCCCTAGAGTGATTCATTATGTAAGAGACGTGAACTAATGATTCTCATTTCACAAATTTTTAATACAAATTAGAAATATATCTCTAATCTTAAGGAAGAAAACGAGGGTTAAACTACTAAGTTTTTATACC